ATACTTTCCATAAATATAGCAGTAAATTATAATAACACATATCTGAGTCTCAATTTAGTTTATTTACAGCCTAAATTTAATAAAATGAAATACGAGTTCTGTATGTATTGAAATCTTAGAAAAAATTAGCAAAATAGGTTAGAAACGAGTTAGAAATTTTATAACGTAATAAAGTCATGGCATAAATAAATCACTTATCGGGGAGAATATAGGTTACATTATATTAATAATATTCTGTAGTTATGAAGACCAAGATGGTGTGGCCTGCTTTTTGTTGCAGTCTCCTTTAGTTATATAGTGTTGGTTTGACCTCGTTTTCGTAACTTTGTCCATGTGACAGGGAGATCTTAAGGACCGTACCTAGTCCTGCATCCTCTGTCATAGTATCTGTGATTTCCAGCATCGGACCATTGACTTGAGACATTATCATATGTTTAGTCGACATTGTCTGTGAGAGGCTCCATCGTTAGCACAGAGTTAGAAATAGTCGCTTCGATAAATTATAACTCAGCACTAATGATGGCGCCTCTAATTGACGATGCCGACAGAACGTATGGGAGTGACAGATGTCACTGGTTCGATGCTGGAAATCCCGAATACTCTGGCAGAGCATGCATGACCAGGTACGTCCCACAAGGTCTCATTGTCACTTTGACCAAGCTACGAAAATGAGATCAAACCAACATTAATTATATGCTATTTTCTGTCAAAATTTAAAAGCATCTAAGCGTAATCCTTAATTATCTAGGAAAAATCGTAATATGAGGAAAAGCGCAATAGTAAGTGATAAATTATCATCAACCTGGATTGAATGGTAACCCAATAAATAAGAAATAATGTGTTAAAATCATGAGTAGCGTTGACATTGCTACGGAACCTACAGTATGAGCATGTTGGCAACGCGGTGAACCAATCAGCTTTACGTGCGTAGGCCCCATACAAGCTGACGAGTGACAAAAGGCAGTGGTATCAGAAACGACAGTGGGTGCGACGGTCATCACTATGGGTATGCCATCGGGAGGGTTTGAGGATGGAATCATAGAACTCGGGACAGTAGATAACCAGCATGAAGTAGCCTTGTGATCATCTACAGGTGGCAGCAGATCAGCAAATAAAGGTGAGTAAACGAGAGAGAAGGAAATAGGGGGGTTGTTTAAAGCAATCCGATTAGGCATGAAATGGTTGGCATTTAAAGCATTAAAATCCGTACTAGCCAACGATTGATGCTCGACTCCCTTCAATTCTAAGGGCTTTTCTGATCGAATGTTGCGCATTTGCATTCTGGCATCACTTGATGGTGAAGAAAAATCGTAAAGTGATGTGCTCATCCCCTTTGGCAAAGCCTGTGCCTCTCCTGGGAATGAAACCTCAATAGAGTCAGATGCAATCGGTTGGGACCCAGGCTGTGTGGCTGAGTGGCATAATTTGGACTGCAGCATGGCACACACTAATCCAGCCTCAGCGGAGACGGCCTTAGCCAGTTCAGTTCGCATGAGAGCACGAATACGCTCATCAATCAGTTCGGTGAACTAGGCCAAGAAATAGATAGAGGTAGAAAGAGGAGAAATGCAGGCAGGGAGAATAAGGATATAAAATATTGAGTGACTATCCAAACACTGTAGAAATACAAATTTGTTATACATATCTTAAGAACAGATTCAGCTAATAACAAAAATAGATAGGTAAGCAGCGAACTGGTTGATTAAGAGGGTTTTTTTCAATCGAAAGAAGTAAGAGGAGGCTACAAAATTGTTGAAATCTCAAAGACTTGGATAAGATTAAACTGCCAGAGCAGATTGATAAGGTGGAAAAAATCAGCAAATAAGGAGGATTTGTCGATGTATTACATTAAAACAAATGTCAAAAGTAATGGAATGGTGATAATTTACGAAGTTAACTCTTTCTGAAGCCATCGGGCCACCTATGAGCAAATTAACTGTCAAGTCAAAGGCTCGTTTAGAAGAATTTTCCCAGCATTAATGTCATGGATGTTCATTAAAGGTATGCAAATCTTTGAGAGCCTGTTTTAGTAGTAGACTTTTCATTTTACCACTTGATCATATATGGGATGATGGCCGATATAATTAAGATGGAACGAAGCAACGAACTAGTTTTGCAAATTAGATTCAGTTCATCCTAACCTTCATAAACCCACTCGAATTTAGTCTGAGTCATAGTTTCCACCTTAATTAGGTACCATCAGTAGATCCAGTAGCAAATGAGCCAAAAATTTGCATATTGGGATTTTGAATCTCCACCTATAAGTTGTACGTTTTTAGTGACATATAGTTGACAAACAAGTAAACCTAAGAAAGCTCATGTGTTTGAATCTTGTCCGATGCGCGTTAGTTCATTAAGAGAACAAAATTTAAGTCAAACCGACGTTTAGGGCGGACAAACAATTAAAAAGAACTTTTCAGAAAAGTCAAGTCTGATTATTAATTATCTTGACCAGTTAACTATGAGGTCCTATAGCAATAAATTACAGAATTCAAGGCTAAACCTTAAAACGAATGTGACCAATTGTTGGAGTAGCTTTTATTACGTTTGAACTAGAAAATTGGAATCTTAAGTTGGCCTCATCGGAAGCTGTAGTAGGATTGCCTTAAAGCCGTGGCGGTAGAATTGTGCAAATGTCCTCGGCTCACCACCCTGTGACCCCAATTAATTCTAGCTGAGCTTTCGTCTGTCATGTGCAGGGAATCATCAAAGCAGAACAGAACGCTTTACGATAATTCACCAAAGCACGAAGACAAGAAATGTGGCCGGAAAACCAGATAACCAACCAAATGATGAGATATCTCACTAAGTGGATGTAGTTGAGTAATAAAAAGTAAGCAATATTGCAACCGGCCATCTTTCTTGTCTTCGTGTTTCGATGAGTTATCATTAATCATGGTGTCCGTCACATGACGGACGAAAGCTCAGCAAGTACTTATCAAGGTCGGAGGGCGGTGCG